ATATAACTTAAAACTAGTATTTCAAATGAGGAATTAAAAAGTTATGAAAACATCTGAAAGTCAAGAGGTTTTTAAGTGCGTCTCTCATGTTCTTTGAAGAAGAAAACACAAATACTTTAAAATATCTGGAAACTATAAATCCATCATACAAAATCAGATTCTCTTAGTACTACTAGTTTCTTCTAAGTATGTTACGTATATGATGAAACTTGTTTCGGTATCTGTAATATTCATTTCTTTGAATAATGATCACCTACTGAGAAATGTTAAGCCACAATATTCATGATTCAGGAAGTTCAAAATTTAGTAATAGGAGCAATAATAGTTTTAAAAGCTTATTAAGTGCTAAGTCTTATGCTAAGTACTTTTTTACATTATAACATTTAAATGAGAGAAATATAGTGAAGGAGGTACAATGCAATTGTTCCTATTTTGTATGTAAAGATATGAAATTTAGTGAATATAAATCCTCTTCTTATTACCATATGAGCAAAAAGTAAGCAAACATGTATTTAAATACACAGAATATGACTTGAGAAAATTATTTTTATTTACTACTATCAAAACTATTTCCTTGACCTGTTATACATGAAGGCAAATCAAAGCAATACATACAAAAGTAATCTCAAGTATCCATACTGAATAAATGCAATCAGAAAAAGGTAGAATTCAATGTTATTTTTAACCTAAAAAGTTTTAAACTTTTATTTAATCCTATTGTCACATAATTTTTCATTATTAACATCATTGATGTCTAACCTAATCCACTATTTTGATTTTAATTTAGCTTATTAGTACATGAGTAAAATATATTTTTACATTCTTTATGGAAATTTGGTAATATACATAACACACCCTAATTCCTTTACACCCATCCCTTATTCATCTGACTACAAATTCTTGTTGTGGTGACTCATTGGTGTCTTGGTGTTTCCCAGGAAGAAACTGCAGCAGGAATGAGGAAAAGATAGACAAGAGACAAGAGCTCAGTTGGTGTGGAAGTCTGTTTGCTTGATGAGCAAAACACATGAAGAATAAAAGTTGAAGTGTTTATTTATACTTTTGCAAATATAGTATCATGTGACGTAGGGTTGCCTAGTGACTCATGGCTGGCAGTTAGGAGGCAGCATGCTTTTCTCAAGACTGTGGTAGATTGACTGCTTTAGGCACTATTGCCTTGGCCTGCCCTTATGAAATTGAGCAATTTGCAGCTACAGCAACTCCCAATATCTCTGCCTTTACTGTTTGTTGTGTAAATGACGGGTGTTCCACTGTAATTAGAAAAGGTATGTTTGGAGAACTCTGTAGAAGACCTTTTCAAACTTGATGCCAGTCCAAAGATTTTTGGTGCCCGTATACAGCAATTTCACACTACATAGGATAACAATCCCTACAAGTAGTGAGTTCCCAGTACAGCTAGCAATTGTCAGAATTTTAAGTAATTTAAACATTTTACAGCAGGCAATTTATTATGCCATTGTTTTTCATATCTCGTGGTTACACTTTTCGGCTGGATATTTAAGACTGCAGTAGGTGCGACCTGGTCAGTTAAGTATCCTCTAGATTTATCTTAGAACCAAGTACAACACCACCTAGATTTTCTGTCAGTGTTAGTCTTCCAGATGAATCACAGCTATCGCTTGATGAAGTTGTTTTCTGTGAGAGCTGGAGAGATTTTTTTTCTGCCAAGGTGACTCTCCTTAGGCACACTACATATTGTAGATTCACTTTCCTCTAGTCCATATTCTCCTTGATCAGAAATAACAAAGACTCAACTGAATTACATGATGTCACACTCTAGGTTCTTTTATGTTCTTAGTCCCAATTGACCTTAGTGAGATAAGGTCTAAATTTTGGTTATCTTTTTAACCTAGCTATCTTCCTAAGTTTTGGTCTCCAAATCTTAGGGTTTAAAAATCAGAAAAGAATGTATTTTTTTTTTTTTTTGGCAGAAACGGAGATTGAGCTCAGGCCCTTGCACTTGCCAGGGAAGTGCTTATTCCACTGAGTCATCTCCCCAGCCCTAAAAATCAGAAAAGAAGCTTAATGACATTATCTTAAAATGGAGGCAGTAAACTTGGCATTACTCTATGTCTGATATAAAACATCTTAGATATAAAATAGAGCTATTATTTTCTAACAAACATGGATATTTTAATATCTAAATCCATATAGAATGTTACTAGACAGTAGCTACATATTCTTACACAGAAATTTAGAAAT